TACTTTCCTGAGTTAGGGGATGCTGTTGCTGATCACGCAGAGCGCCTGTTTCTTTTTTAGAGAATAGAGAACTTAGTATTTATTTTTTGACGTAAGGTGTGTATATATATTTTAAACATGGTTCTTTTAAACTTACCGGTCGCCTTGCAGTTTACTCTCTCGAGTGTTTGCTCTTCACGTAAAGCTTGTTCATATGCTCTAAAATAGCTGCTCCCAGGGATAAAAAACATTTTATCAAAAATATATTTAATATATACACAAAGAGTTGTAAACGTAGCAAAAAATACTTACTGAGCTGCTCTTCGGGGCGCGTGCCGTTAATGCTGCGATAAGCTGCCTCTGATATGAATGAAATGATCTCGGTTAACATACACGCTTTTGTAAAACATAAAAAAATAAAATTGCATCACTTTTTTTCTTTTCAGGGGGTACCTGGATTCATCTCGAAGTGTGGAGAGCCTGAGTGACTAAGTGTAAGACTTGTGTCCGAGTGTTTTACCCCCTGTTTTTGCACCTCTCTTACAAAAACACAGCTCTGTGATGAGGAACATATGCCATAGGCTCTGTTTTTACCATCTAAATAATTACCCCCACTAAATAACTCAAGGACATCCGTTGTCTCATGTTCCCCATGGGTCAAAAATGTGCAAAAGCTGCAATAGGCTGACATATAGTAGCTACGCGACTGCCCAGAGAGATAATGCATGCTGTTATTAAGCCTATTGCCAAGTTAAATGACACTGTCAATACACACTCAGAGGGCGAAGTGTTAAAAAAAAACGCGCACACGCTCAGCATCCCATTGGCTGCGAGAATTTTCCAAGTCTGGTCTCTTTCCGGCTGCTCCCGACTCAGTGTTCACTTCATCTCTGCCTGACCGCGGAGTGAGATCTCGTCATGCTGAGAAACGGCGCGTACAGGTTAGTGCCACGTCCCCAGACTGATCTTAGTCATAAATGTAAGACAACAGTGTTTATTTGTGGATAAACGAGAAGCTCCAGCATAGGCTGCTTCGACATGCACTGATGTGTGATAAAATCCTGCATGACGGTGCTCTCTGCAGCTCGACAGAGGAGAGTACAGGCTGTTCACATGCTGAGGGCTTAAAGCAGATTTCATATTTGGAGAGTTTTTGTGTGTTAACTTGAGCGGTGTCCTTCCAGAAGCATGCACCAGGGAGAGGAGGCGAGGCTGCGCAGCGGGACCCAGGCTGTCGCTCGGGACAGGAAGCACCTTGCTCTGTGCATTAATAACCAGGTAAGAGGCTTCCAAAGGAGGACGATGGACATAAACTCTATTGGAGTTCATGTTTTTGCTGTAAACTGGGTTGTGTAGATTTCTTTAGCGCCCTGGGAAAACATGACGGCATCCTCTCCTTCAGTGAGGGTGCGTTTCAGCAGTGATGTAACTGACTTTCTGATCTTTTTTTGGAGCAGCAAGTTGAGCATAAACTGCACAGTAGCAATCAGTCCCCCAAAAGAAAGAAGAAGACCATATAGTCCATTCAAACAGCCATTCTACAGGCAGCGTGACAGTGTTTAGGCAACTGTTCCCCACAGCTGCTGAGCAGGCAGAGGAGTATCAGCACCATGGACAGTGAAACCTGCTCTACAACGGCACAATTGGCTGAATTCAAATTGGTCTAGGAATTTTTTTTATGTTTTCTTGAGGTCACAAAAAGATTTCTGTCTTAGAAGCAGATGACAATATCTCATTAATAGCACATACTGTATTGTACCTCTTGATATAAATGACTTCATTGTCAGCAGACAGTGGTGAGGGCATGGCCAAACATGCCCTGTGCTTCAAGTTGGGACCAGAGCTCATGAACAGGGGCAACAAATTTTTTGAAACTCAGGCAGCTGATCCGAAATGGACTTCATAATGTAAGTGGAAGTTAGTTTGGCTTGAATCATCTCCAGAAGAAGTATGGAATGTGTGCGTGGCCGAGTGTAGGTGCACAAATTCACCTGGTTCTATCGAGCTTCTGAATATTTAATGCCAGTGATGTAGTGTTGCGCATTATCGGCAGCAGGGGATATTGAGTGTATGAGCTCTGAAAGCACTGTTCCATCACAGCTTTTGACTTACTGTGCAATACATTACGATGGTGCAATCCCACAACACACACACACACACACGCGCACTCTCTCTCTCTCTCTCTCTCTCTCTCGTTCACTGCATGTTCACCTGAACTTTCTCATCTCCACATTTGTTCCAGTCTGTTTCCACTGCACAACTAGACAAATGAATTTCATTATCACTTTCCCAGAATGAAATTTCCAAAATGATCCTGCTTAACTCAGTGGCACGCCGTGTCAGAGGAGGTTCATATGAGATTGCCAAGGAGGACGCGAGGAAGCTTGCTGAAGGACTAACCAGTAATTGGCGTGTGAAATATGAGTGAGGGTAGAAAAGCAGGTTATTGGATATGGAGACTGCTCCACTTGCTGTGCCTGTGTGAGTGATTCAGATTCATTGCTGAGGCATGAACCCCCTGAGAAGCACATTAATCTATCCAGCTTTTACCCCATAATCAATGGGACAGCTGAATTTTATGGCCACGGCCCATGTTGTTAACACTTTTACACAGAGCTTATTTAAACAGCTGGCCTGGTGTGATGCTGCTGGAATTTTGAAATCATTCAACAATATCATACATGAAGCCCGTTGTTGCTCCCAATTCACTGATCACACAGAAAAGTAATGTATGTGCATGTCACCTTCTTAAAGAGCTTGTGTTTGTGCTCAACAGGAAGCAGAAATTCCCAAACGTGAATGATTCCTTGTCTGCTTCTTTAAGTTTTTTAATTCCTGGTTTCAGTGCTGTTTTATAGTCAGTTTGCTCTTGGGTTTTATAGATTTTATATGTTTTTGTCTGTTATGTTTTTTCTTTGTCTGTAACTATATATGCACTGTCTTGGCAAGGACGCCCTTGGAAAAGAGGTTTTTAACTTCAAGGGACTTTCCCTGGATGAACACTGGCAAAATAAATAAAAAGAAAGTCCAACATAGATCGGTACAGTATCATTCAGACCTTGTATCATTGGTTTTGGCCAGTATCAGTTCATCAGTGTAAACTGCGGGAGTCAGACATGGACACAGCGTTCTGTAATATATAGAAGGATGTGCACAGAGGGAGCGCTGCGCCAGGAAAGGGTGTCATATTTCAGAAGTGCATTATTGTCTCTCCCCTAGTGGGACAGAACTGTGCTGAGTGCAGTTTGTGCCAGCTCACTCAAACGCTCCGCAATTGAGTCGTAATAACTTGCACAGGAGCGAGATGAGCCTGCAAGCTGACAGATAGCCGTCTCTTGGCCCACCGTGGTCATATGACCAAGACTGTGTGTCTGTGTGTGTGTGTGTGTGTGTGTGTGTGTGTGTGTGTGCACACTCTGGTTCAATGCTGCAGAAAAAAGAAAATGCATCTTTTATTAAACTCCACCATAGCTCCTCCAAAATGTACACAAGGATGCACACATGTGGTCTCAGATACACACACACACACACACACACTCCTCTCATCCCATTACAGAGTCTTGGAAGGCTGGTTTGGTCATAATAAGTGAGCATAGTCTTTGATCAGTAGAAGAAGCCCCCACACCCATGACAGGCATGCACGTCTGTGCGTGCGTGCGTGTTTGTGTGTGTGTGTGTGTGTGTGTGTGCTGACTCTCTTCCCCACCATATGTTAACCAGAGCAGCTCTCTGCTGGTTAATAGTAGCAGGGGGAGTAGTCCCAAGTGCTCCATTTTGCATTTTGATAGACTGTATGATCATCTTCTCACTCGCTCACCTCCTTCACCTCTACTCATCACATCTCACCCTCCCCCACGCTTCTCGCGGTGTCTTCTTCTCCTGTTCCATTTAGGATAATCTCGTACCTTCCTGTTCTTTCTTACTGATACTCTCTTGCATCCCCTCAGTGAACATCCTAAAATCCATTGTTCCAACCCCTTTAAATGTTCAGCATTTGTCACTGTGGTATTATCAGCTGAACACATACAGAACTGAGGAGTCATACTGGTTGTCATCTGTGTGAACTAGATAACTGGTCAAAATCAGCATAAAATTAATCAACAGTGATTTTGGTAATAGATCAGTTAATGTCTTTCAGGCAGAAATGTTCCTCTAATGTGAGGATTTGGTGCTTTTTGCTGTTTTTATATCATGGTAAACTGACTACTGGCTGTTGGTCAGACAAAACAAACTCTTCCAGGGTCATGATAAAATTTTTTTTAGTCAAAACTATACAACCTGTGTATGGCTCTAAAGAATGGGCCTGTCTTCACTTGATAAACTGCTTAATTCTATGAAATATGATCAAGAAATTAATCTCACATCTGTATCTGTGCGTGATGTAAGACTCCTCTGTGTCACTGTTCATATCTGTGCCGTACAGGTCAGTTTACAGTGCCTGCTCTGGCCTGATATTGATTGCTGTGTAACTGCAGCAGGCTACTTGTCGTTATCTGATCAGTATGAAACTGCTCTCTTACTGTAGTTTCAGTCCGTAAAAGTTTATTAGGGTTATTTGTCAGTTTACACCTCTGAACCTGAGCCCCTTTTTCTTTTCCTCTTTCCTCAAAAGGAGCAAAATTACATAAACACATTAATTTCCTTCACTAGAAATACTTTTGTTGTATTCTATAACATGAAGAGAAAATTATATTTCAAACATGTAATGACAGGAACCCATCATCTACCTCTCAGCGGGCTTCGTTTGTGTTCAGGGACTCGGACGAAAGAGTAAAGGTCGACTTCTGTATCGCTCCTTGCACATACTGCATGTTAATTGATTTCCGATGTTGCGGCCAAAGAGCATTTCCACCAGTGCGGCTTTCCACCTGATTGGATGTTTCCCCGGGCTGATCGGTAAGTCAAGTTGCCAAACAAGCCAGTAGCCCAATGTTTCAGCACATCACCGGACTACAATCAAACCCTCTGAGATCCGACCGGTATGTGTGTGGGAGTTTATTTCACTAAGAGACCTCACTACACTGAAGGGCATCAAGAGCTGACCATCTCTCACACACCAGAGGGAATACACTTTTGTCTGGTGTGTGTGTGTGTGTGTGTGTGTGTGTGTTAGGGTGGACATTCAGCTCTGCCTACCATCAATCTCTGTGATAGAACTAGGACTCTCAGAAGTTATGATTTTAATAGGGCAGCAGACTTTCTGCTATGTGCTGTTGCTGTCTCCTCTTCCTTCTTCTTTTCCTCCCTTCTGTCATTTTTCCGTGACATGATGCTTGTTGCCATCCGCCCTCGTCTTCCCCAGCCTTTCAACCGGCTGAAAGCTTATTTTTATATTGAAATGAATGTGATTATGCTGTTTACCTGCCCAGCACAGGATCGTTCCATCAATATCCCTGTTTTTATGCAATCACACATTCAGCAGTTCATTTAAAAGATTGTCGTAACCTAATGGATACAAGTACTGCATTTCTCCTGTCTTTAGCTGCCATAATATTACACTATATTGGTATTTCTGTTACTCTGTCTAGAGGCAAGTGACCCAAGGTGTTATGGTTTGCTGTAAAGGCACAAAATATAGTTGCTGCATAAAATGAGTTACAGTGGGTATGGCTAGCACATGGAGCAATCTTTGAAAACTCAAGGGAACAGTAACATTTCTATAGTGAAACTTTTACTGTGACACTTGATGCTTTACTCATATTTGTATTGCTCTTAATGTTCAGTCATGTAGTGTAGGCTAACTAGGCAACTACTCATTGTCATAAGATATATTGCTCTGGCTTTAAAGGAGACATTTCTGTCATTTGACACTTCCTGTAAATGGATACTGTATGTTGCCATATCATTTGTTTAGTTTCACCATTTCCACCACCGTTTGTTTGTCATGGATTCTTGTTTTAGCCTGAGTATCTGGACAGCAGTCTATAGCACAGCACTTGCTGACACATCTTAAACCGTCTTCGGGCTTCCATCGGACGTCCTGCAGCATGCTGATGTCCTGAACTCTTATTAATCCCCGCCGGCTTCACTGTGGACAAGCACAAACACTCAGAACAGTTGAGCAACTTCACAGACAGCGCACAGTGTTTGCACTACATGTACCCAGACATACGCAAAGGTGTGAAACTATGCACACTGTGGAGCCAAAGCATTATGGCCGCCACTGACTGAGATGCTGGAGGTCCTTTGTGTGCCAGAAAAACATCCCCAGTCCATCAAGGCATGGGCTGTATAACACCTTTACACCCACCAGCTTCTCCTGCATCCAACACAACTTTGACCACAAGAACCCACTGTGACACTGACCTTGTAACAAGTCCCAGACCTTAGCATGCACTGTTGTTACATGATAATTAAAGTTATTCACTACATCTGTGAGTGGTCATAATGTTTTGATTCATTGGTATATTGTAGTACAACATTTTGCACTATGATTTCCAAAGAGTAGTTTTTTTTTGTTTGCATGCATTCAGTGCCAGAGGGCAAAATGAATGGCACTCTTTGTAAACTGTTAGAGGTGTAAACTCTGTTAGAGAGTTTGTGGGATGATGTTTAAATTGGAGATTGTGAGAGCAGTTGGAGAATTCTACTAGCTGCTTTACACGTCCGGCAGACTTGATATCTTTAGTATTCACTTGGTGTCATGTGTCCACCTGACAGCCTCAATGTAAATCCAATATTCACTTTTTTTTCAGCTCTGTTTTGGTCAACACCAACCCCAGCACCAATGGGAGGGAAGTATCTGGCACATTAGCTTCTAAACATATCCCAGCTAGTCACTGACTTTGCCTGTCTGCTCTTTGGTGCTGAGCAGGTAGAATGCAGTGCGTTGATCACAGCTTTTTTGCTTGTTTGCTTTTCAGCAGCTGCCTTCTGCAGTTGGAAATGAGGCTGAAAATTGTGGCGACACTGATCCAAGGCAGCATTGTGCTGAAGTTGCTTTCTGCAAAACTAAAACAATAAGCTAAAAAACACTAAAACACCCCACAGAGCTGTTAGGATTGATGGTGTCATGCGCTAATTCTCTGTGCGTTCATCACTACGAGGGTATGCGACATGTGAGCTGAATGTACCATCACCCTCTTTAGTTGTCACAGCCTCGATGTAGTTAAACGCACATGAAGAAATGCTCGAAGCTTGCGCCCTGCTGGCTAGCAGAGAGATGAGTGAATGACTGAGATGAAGTGGAGCTGCTCTGTTGTTCTGGAAGCACATCCATCTGTCCAGGCCCATTCAGCTTCACGGCAGTGGCCCTGGAGCTGCCCGAGATGAGCCTCGCCCCCCTGGCTTGGAGCCGGGGTCTGGCTGGCTGACACCTGCAGAGCGCACGCATGCTGTTATGCATCAGCAATAACATAGCAGTTGCTTTCTCCCACCACTCTCTGTTTATGATTATTTATGCCTATGTTAATAGACCTGGGCACGCTGCCACTCTTAAGGTTAAACAGATAACAGAAACAAATGATAAAAAAAGAGCAGTTTCACAGATATGCCAGACAAACAGTGTGCGTGGGTGGAGGAACAATTACACATACACAAAATGCTGCAGATTTATTATTACTGTATGTCTTATGGAAGCACAGCTCCTCCTGTGTTTCATCTGGGGCTTGGAGAATTAAAAATCTTGTTGACATATTGGTGCTATTCATTGTGCAGGAAGAAGTGAAGAGGTATCACCGCTACTGCAACCGCAGCACAGGGAAGGCAGCTCCCAAGGTGGAGAGGTGAGACGATGCACGGTAGTGTCCCTACTGTTCCATGAAAAAAATTCAATCTACTATAAGAGAATGCTATACTGTAATAAAAAGTCCCTGTTCTATCATTCAAGATGCTTCCTCTGCCATAAAATGCCTTATTTTACAATGGGAAATCCTTACTCCTACACAAAAACTCCAGTTTCAAAGCCATTTGAAATGTAAGCCCATTCATCTATAACATACCAAATGAATTGTGCTCTTTCCGTTGTTAGCCACATAATTCAGTTTATCTGTCTGGTCTTGTCACTGTCACAGAAGCCGTCCTCAGAGGAGCGAGGAGGAAGATGACAATAGCCCTCGTCGTCGTGAGCAACCGCACCTGGAGATCAAGGCTATTGTGTGAGCGTTGCCTGTGGCTCATTTGTGTGACTGATTATTTAAAACATCTGTTTCTTTTCTTCATTTTTAATCAGTCTCAGAGCGAGTGTCGCCTGTGACCTTAAAAGTGCATTGTATTTGTCATGCGGAAGAGATCACTCTGTGTGTAGCTTAAATTCAATCTTCTCTTTGATTAGGTTTTGGAGTCGGGGTCAGAGTGCACTTTTGAGTGCATGAACCGTCACAGACTGCCATATAACACTGTTTCACTTACACATAGGTGTAACAGAGAAGGACAGCGCTCGCCTCAGGCTTCCACTTCCTAGAAAGTCAAGGATAGAGAAAAGAAAGCCAGCATTTCTGTCTAAAAGTAACATGATTGGGGTTTAGAGACGGACACAGGAAAAATGTCAGGTTAAACTCCCACAAACAGTAGATGAATGGAGGTGGGAGGATGGAAAGAGAGAGAAGAAGATAGAGAGGAAGAGGGGAAGGGTATTGGTTTTGGAGCTAGGAGTTATGGCTTAATTCAGTTTGTTCCATTTGGCTCAGCTGTCTCTCTGCTCCATCGAGTAATTGATCCTACACTCCATTCCGGACCCTGGTGTTGGGGAGACTACAGGGATGAAAGAGGGCAGAAAGTGAGAGGGCGAGCCGTGGAGGATGAAAACAGGTGTGAGGCAGACGGGAAGAGCGGACAAAATTTAGGAAAGTATTGAGGAAAATATGTTTGGTGATGGACAAGAAATAGGAAAGGAAAGTCACACAAAGTGAGAAGTTGAGAGAGAAATGAGATGTGGTGAATGGTGATCATTCATCATTTTATATTTCCACAATAGTAATGAGACCCGTGACTTATTCTGCAATTCACACCACTGTATTTTATTAAAACTGTATCTGCCTCATGTAATATTATTTTTAAAAGGCCTTCTTTTATTGATATCCTCAGACTTTATCAGCATAGATGACAGTTTAACAGTACCACAGTGTTTAAGTTATGGCCATAATTTAGAATTATTTTAGCTCTAAGAAATCCTATTCTGCTAAATGTATTCAAAGCTGAACATAACGAAAGTAAAGAGGATTAAACTCCTGGATATCTTATCAGGTTTCAACCCAGAATATTTTAACTCATCATTAGTGGTGCACATGATTGTTGCTCCTTGTGTTTTTATGGAGAACCATGTTTTCTTTGTTGCTGTACTGACAATTCAACCAGAAGAGTTTCAGCCAGTCACCAACATAGTCTATGCAGTAAATGAACATGACTTTTACTTCTAAAGACCCCAAAGTACCCCTCATGCTTCACAACTTTATATTGTAATGGGCTCAGCTTTGGTTATGAGCTGTAGATGGCACTGATATACGCATTATGTCCACTTCTGTTCCCAGGATCCAGCGCGCCTGGCGTGCGACCATGTCCCGCAGAGACAGTGGGCAGGGACGAGATGAGAACCATACCAGCCATCATTGGGGTGGGACGGCGCTGTCAGAGAGCCTCCAGGACCCTCTGATGACCACTGGTATTTCTCCGGTAAGACCGCAGAACACCAATCAAACAGACAACCATATGGTGCAGCATGAGAGTGAGGCAGGTGGCGAGAGATCGAGACATCTTTAAGTGTCTCCTGTCTTGCGTGAGTTATTAGCAGTGATCTGTTGTTTCTGCAGAGAATCCAGAAAGAACGGGTGAGTGGATGCATGGATGCGTAAACTAATAGCGCAAAGGAGGGAGCGAGGGAGGGCTGTTTACCTCTAGTGTCATCTGTGGGGACTGCGGGGGTCGTACTGGTGGAGGTGGATGGGATGCCAGCTGGATCGGTGCCCAGATCTGTAATTAGCTCTTAATTAGGTAAATTTTCAAAGCTGGTTGATTGATTAATGAAGTGCCTCTGCCCTTGTCATTGCCCCCACCCCCCTCCTCACCTCCTCCCTTCTCCCTAGGGAGTGCAGGGGAGAATTAAACTGTGCTCACAGGGCATGGCAGCCAAACAAAAGCCACAGGGGGAAAATGTCAGTATGAGCAGCAGATAAACAGTGAGAAG